ACCTACTCGCGAAAACTGGCCGCCGAAAAAGAGAATATTCTCTTAAAAAATTGCTTGTTCTAGCTGCGCCAACAACTGCGTAAGCGAAACCCAAAACCTCGAAAAAAGCCAAAAACGACATCTTCAATATCGCAGGAAATCACAACCCCTTAGACGAGCATTCCAAAGACGTGCATTACCGGGTCAACCTTTCTAAAACTGCTGTCTTGGTAACTGGAAGAAATTACCGTAAATGAATCCTGATATATCCAACGCGCCCCAACTAACGCTAACCTTACTCAAGGCAACCTGCCTCTGTACAGGTTGGGCCTTCGCTCTTGTATGCGCAGTGCAAAAATAAAAAAAAGAAAACATGACTGAACAGCCTCGCACAACGAGGCTTTTCAAATATCCCCCTTTCTCTGTCCCTCAGCTTACCGACAAATCAGTGCATGTCAACAACATCTCGCCTTCAACTCATTCCTACCCGTCCAGCCATTTTACTGCCGTGTTCTTGCCGACATGCACCACCGTCTCCCGAAGCACCCTCTCATACGCGCCAAAAGAAAGCCCTCTTCATGCGTCTTCTTTCCCCAAGCGTTGAAGAAAAACCCATACGGTTTCCCGAACGTCTGCACTATGCCCACCCAAATTTCCAAAGAATAGATGGCGTCGACAGCGTTTGCCCCAGCTGATATATCCGCCGAGCTTTTAGGCACATGTTTTGAATTTCGAAGTAAGTTTCAGACGATGACACCCATGTTTCCTATTTTCTTTAGGAATATGAGCTGCTTACTGCGGGCGCATTGTCTGAAATCACCCACCTCAACCTGGACGTTGCAGCGGCTGCAGAAAGACAGGCGGAGTACACCTGTTCCATGGCATGCCCCGCTGCAAACACCAAATAAACAATGAGCAACCTCTTCGATGGCATCCCTTGTTTGTGCCTGTTATAGTACAGCTGCTGCAGCGCCAGGCAGATGAGTCCTGTCGTCTATCCCCTAATGGCTGCAGCAGAGTGATCGCGCATTTTCCCTCAACTTTATTGACCGTGGAAAGACGTGGCGCACGTTAGTACTGCAAGAAGAAAACGGACCTCACACACGGCTTGTTTGTGCAACCGACAGTGACCCCACGGAAGCTGCATAGCACGTACGAGCACACGATAATAATACTTGAAGGTCATTCATATTTGTTACTGCAATTCTGAGCAAGCCTCGGTTTTAGTGCGCTTGTTATAGGCCTGAGTGTTATTTTTTATCTGTCAACACCACGATGGTGCGGTATCTTCAAAGTTACGAAAACCGCCTCATCTATAATAGCACGTGCGCCGTCAGCGTTGCATGACTCCTTCTACCCTGACTCCCAGAATGCGTTTTTGTGCCGCGTCCGTGTATGTGTGTGTGGGGGGGTGGGGGGGTGGGGCAGGAAGCCGTGACACAATAAGTCAATAGTTTTTGGTGCAGGGAAAGGAAATGATTTCGGGCAAGTGTAAAAAGTATTTCAAGTGCCATGTTTTTCTTTCTCAATAAACATCTCTCTCTCTCTCTCTCTCTCTCTCTCTTTGTTTACCACTTTTTTTTAGACGACGGAAGCTATAAAGCTTGGTGTACACAGATCCCTACGTTTTGTTCTCTGGCTAGAACTTATTTTTGTGTCTGCTGTGTGAATCGGCGTCGATGATGAGCTACTTCACCAAACCCTCCTCGCTAAAGCGCCAGTCAAACACAATCCTCCCTTACTTCCCAAAAAAACGTCCATGTGCGAATTAAGAAGAGGCAACAACAACGCCGTAATGCCTAGTCCTAACCGTAGAGGAACCGGTGACTGATCGAATGTCGTCGTCAGTTGAGTCTATCGGCCTGGAAATCTTCACCGAGTATGCTTCATTCGATAAACCTGTGCAGCCGAATGACCTGGGAATCTGCACTGGAAAGTCGTTAAGTGTGGTTATATTGCAGTTTATCTATGATGTGAGAATTGCAGTTGTACTGCATTCAACTGTGCAGAGAGTCTGTAATTATTATTTACAAACTGCAGAAAGCCCGTTATTACCCAGTACTATTCATTCAAATTCAATGAGACATATAGTTCGTCGCCTAATTACTTTTGCGGGTTTTTATTTTTATTGTAAAAACAGCCGTTTCTATATCTGGAAAGTTTATTGTTACAATGGCACAACTCGAAAACAATCAATGCTATGCACAATCTTTAAGTGCTCTATATTAGCCTTTTACATGTGTAAGTACGTATTGAGTTGGCCCTGCAAAAAAAAGCAGACAGTTTAGTATATGTCACATTGACACAGCTTACAAAATGTACCTTATAGCAGAGCAACCTGCATAACAAACTCTACAAAACTTACCTGTGGCAGGTGATTGATTACATGGAAACTCCAGGCTTCTAATATTAAAGGCTGGAAGATGATACGTCGACGCAATTTCTGGTATGCACTGTTTTGTACTTTTACCACTTTTTTCTGTTAATGTGCCGCTAGCGGTGCCCCAAGGCGTGACTACAAGAGAACGCAGTAGCTTAGGCAAGTTGTTCGGGGATGTTGGCAGTGTAATGACTGAGCAACTGTCTTATTTTCCGGTCCCTAATATTTTGCTTTAGCCAAATAATGCAGAATAATGTTATCCATTGCGGAATGTATATTTTTGTACAAATTTTTTGTAGCCGACGCCTAGGCGGGAGCCCAGTCCACAAACAAGCCAGACGCGAAATAACGTTTTAACGCGATAACGTTGGAGAGCTCGTGTCGCAGAAACCCCGCCGGTGGTGTCGGCCGCTTTGTTTGTGAGCGAAAAATAGTCTGTGCGTCTGTGATCAAAAACTCAAGTTACCGAGATTGCCGCGGGAGGCCGCTACTTGTTCACGCGTGCGCACGAGATGACACTGAAAAAGCCACGCATTCGAAGAAAAAAAAAAGCTCAAGGTCACGAGGCACAGTAGTTTCTCTGCCCCTGCCACCCCTCCCTGCTCAACTTTCAGCGCTTTGGTCGGGACGAGAGAAGAGATATGCCAATCGCAGCATGCGACAAACCTTCGTAATTCCACTCGCACAGGACGGATTCTTAAAATTGCTGCGGCGTTGAATTTGTAAGGCAATAAGCTCTTCTAATGAATTTATTTCATGGTTACTTGAAAAAGTATTTAAGGGCTCATTTAACGCATTTTGTTCGACAGGTGTCACGACGAAAACGAGCCCATTCGGCGATTTGTAGGCGCATTTGGGAAGCCTCAAACTATGTCGAAAAAGGCTGGGATAATGCATCCATTGCCACTAAAACACACAGGAACTTTCAAACAGCTCTAAAAATGCACAACTATGTCCATATAGCGGAAAACATGTCATGCCTTTCCAGAGGCGTTGATCAAGCAAACAGCCAACGCTAGATAATGTGCTGCTACCTGTGAAGCAATGTGAGACTCTTTATTGCCTCCCAGATGGCGAGTTCGTGGCGTGTATCTTGGAAGCCATGCGACTCTTGCTCTAGATTAAAAATGTGTATGCACCATTCGCGCTAACATAACATAATAATAAGTATCCACTTGGTCGTCGACGGGCGCGCACTATAGGGGACGTATTTTGCGATGGCATTCAACTCTTAGAGGCGAAGCTTAAGGGTCCCTCAATTTTTTCTATCATTCAATATGCATGTTTGCTGTCTCAAACATTAATGTGTATGTGTATATGTCTCATAGCAGTACTTGTTTCTTCCTAATATCAACAACTAAAACTGCGCTAAAAAGCAGCTTTTTCTGTATATCCTCTTTGTTTTTTTAAAATGTTTTGTTATATGACAGCCCAGAATAAGGGATGCAAATATTGATGCTGTAAATGCGAGAATAGCTGGTTAGCGTCTGCAGAATAATTACACAAACCTTTTGTAGGTGACCGATGTCAAGGAAAAGTAGTAGCTGACAAGCGCATGGATGCCTGCCGCGAACTTTCCATTAGGGGCAACAGGAATAAGAAAATTAAAGTTTCAGTACTTGTGGCAGCAGCGATAGAACTGGCTCGTCTATTCCGAAAAAGGAGAAAGGCGCCTTTTGTAAATATTGTGTCCTTTTCGCTCCATCTGGGGTTGGTGTGCGAGGCCTGCCCTCGGGCAAACTTGTGATGTCGAAGTTTGACAACTGGAAGAATGCGATTGAGGCTTTTAACGAGCATGAGAAAAAGTTGTTCCACAGAAACATCGTCCTAGACACGGACAATGTTCTAGCAGTTTTAGATGGCAGGAACAACCCTATTGACCTTGATCTTGACCGCAGGTTAAGAGAAAAAATACCAAGAATAAAAAAAACCTCTTATGGTTCTTATGGTGTGCTTCAATCGATGGAATGCAAGCGGACTGCAAGAAGCGTAATACAGCTGCAACGTAGCGGAATAAAAATTTTGGTGTATGCCAAAGTAGCGAAACGGCCGCGAGCCACCCATGTACGTCATACCGTACAAGACATGCATGACTTGATTTCCATGCTAGCAGACGTCATTTGTGTCTTTCATACGGTTATGTGATGGAATAATTATTTTTATGTATAGCAAGTTAGCGAAACTGTCATCAGCGTGTTAACGAGAGTGGAATGTAAGGCATGCAGCACACGACACGCACATCATTATTTTCATGTCACCAGCTGTAATTCATGTTAGGCGTGTTGTCACACTTTGAATATATCCATTCCGACGTATATGAAGCCAGATAAACAGCCATGAGTGGCCGCGAGGTGAAACGTTTGCTTTTAAACTTGGAATTTTCACAGCGGTGACGGTTGCGCGATTTTCACGTGCTCCCGTGGGCTGGCCAGGGGCCACATCGTCATTCCAAACATCACCTCTAGATGCGCATGCGCGGCGCACGACGACGCCGACACTCCGGAGTCACCTTATCACTGCGCTGCGGTTTGCCTTGTGACGCTAAGTACAGTGCCTGAGAAGCCAAAGCATGACAACGGGAATGTTCAAACACTTATTCCGACCACCGCACCTCCACCTTTCAGCTTTCGCTCCACTAGTTCTAAACGTCCTGCTTCACCTACGCCACCAGTGGCAGACACAGGGTATTGCTGGCAATGGGGCGTGCCGCGTCTCATGCGAACAACTAAACAAAAAGTAGGTGTGCTGTTGGTCAGTTTGGCGGGAACCGTCACGACGGAGAGGAGTTGCGGAGTTGCCAGGAGGCGCAAGACGAATGTTAGTGCTGTTTGTTTATCAGCTCGTTACGGCTGCCGTTCACTGACAGGGTAAGATATTGCTACGTTGCCCTGTGTATTCAGATGAATTCAGGTACTGCTTATGTAGCTGTAGGCGGATTTGTTTCCAGTGTGCGTAATCGAGTAATACAAATTACGGAATGATGGCCGTTTCTTCGCTTAACTGCATATCACGAAGCAAGAGTGGAAAGGCAAATCAAGCGAATATGTTTACTTTGACGTTTACGTTGTCACAAAGTCTGAGTGGAAATGTGTTCGTAGGTGCAACTTCCATTTCTCTTGGCACGTGAAACTTCACCTAGTTTTGGCGAAACGTATTTGGTAAACGGCAATTCGCGTAAGCCTGCATGCGTGTTCGTGGGCCGGAATGTGCTCGACATTTATGCCTCCGTCCACGTTGCTGGTTCGCGTGGCAGCTTCCTAGTAATCCGTGTGCCCCCTTACAGTATTGCTTAGTAAGATATTGATGGTTGCTCAGCGGGTGTGAATCTTCGCACCGTGAGACCACGATCTCCTCGCTCTCGCAAGCTAAAACATCCACGCGGATTTGTCAGAGCTTACGTCTTTGGAGCTATCCGTGTTTTTTTTAATTTCTGGGCTATTCGCGCTGTCGTTTTATTTTGATAAGTAACACGAGTCCACAGTGCTTGCGAAACCGGGATCCTCACCCCACGAATCTGTCTTAGCCTTTGGCGCGTTTAAAGCCTCACTGCTCAGGTTCGGCTCTCTGTGTTTCTGTCGTAGTTTATTGTTTGTTTTTCCAATGAAGTTCTTATTTCAAGTTCACGCCACCCTTAGCCTGCCCTGTGACGTAGAGAAATGAAAGGGATTATTGGGAGCTTTAGAACAGCATTAGCTGACGTTGTGGGCGTTGCGGGCGCCATATGAGTTTTAGAATAGCGTTTGGCCTTCCCGCAAACCTAAATGCACGATGTAGGCTACACCACAGCCTCGACACCAGTGTTTGTGGGCCGAGCGCTATTTCGGATTTTCTGCGCGTGGACTAAAAGTGCGAGAATTGGTAATGAATTCTAAATTGGTATTTTGTTACCACGTGAATATTATTTGTGTTTATATAGTAGCTGCCAACTATATGTAGATAGTTTACAGACTTATCAAGTAAATATTTGCCAGCTTCTTTTTAACTGGTTGATTTATTTTGTCAGGTAGTGCACTAGTGCAGTCGTCTTCACTCGTGGTTTAAATCAATGGAACCCCCTCATACAGATTGAGCTCATAAGTAACGCTAGTTTTAGATTAGAATTGGGTGCCTCAAGTACAATTAATCTTTTTCAAATCAATTAGTCAGCCCACAGAATGTTATGCCAAGATAAAAACATCAACAATGCATGTAGTAGCCATGCAGTTATGATTTGTGAGCATCTTATGTTGCAGCCTAACCCACCAGCAGTTCAAGTATGGCTCATGCTTCCACGCGGCGTATTTAGATGGGAGATAAGATTAGAGGTGGACATATCTTTGTAACACTAATTTTGCACGCGACGCGAAATTCATTACAACCTGTGATTTGAACAGTGATGTTGGTACGTGCTAGCAACCTTAAACTAACACAAATAAAGCACATTTGTTACGTATTCTGTTATGCTACATAACATATTTATAACCATTCCATATTGAGCACTCAGTTATTGAATTATCTGGAGAAGCCACTACTATGCGAGGTTATAATGCTATGTATTTCAATGTTGAATCATACTAATTCCAGACTTCCTTGATGCATTCTGTGAGTGCAACGAGGAAAACACGGCTGCTTGGAATGAAACAAAAAGTATCTGAGAAGCCTGCAGCAAGTGACCACGCTTCCAGCAACCCCATTCCGTGTCCCGACGCTCTCCTTGAACTGAAGGTGACAATGTCATTTTTCACAGTCCTTGTTCAAACTTTGCCTGACAACAGACACGTTTTCAGCAATAATCTTTGACATTAGTGATAAGGCATTGCTATACCAATCACTGTTCAAAGATCTCTTCTATAGAGAAAGTGCCAGCCGACCATATTACGCTTATTAGCAATCACCTACTCCTTCTTGCAGTGGTATAAATTTTAAAAGAAAATTTGAAACAAATATGTCTTCAGTGCAGACAATACTCTCCCTCAATAAAATATACTTGTTTTGAAAAGCAATGTGATAAAATTTCTCTCATACGTGTACTTCGTTTCTTTGATATGCAGCTAAAAGGTAGAACAGGACCTGGTAGGAAAATCCAAGGTTACCACTTTGTCATTCAAGGTACTTCAAACCTACTTTTGTATAGAACTGTGCTCTATTAGGGTACTGTTGAGAACTGTCTGGGACCACACAGCTGCTAAAATTTTTACTTTCCAATTGTTGATATCGCCGCAGGCTACATGCCAAGCTAGCATGGTATATGACCTGTGTTTTACTGACAGGGGAGAGCAAAAATATTGCAGAAGAGTGAACCATAGACAGCTTCCTAACTCTCTATTAGAACACTGCTATATATAAAAAGGTCTGAAGGTACCTAGAACGGCGTACCGGATATGTCCATCACTAATTTCTGTGGATCGCCGTTTCAGTAACTAAAACAGCATTTTATTTGAAACAGGGTTCCATATATTCTTATGTAGAATCATGATTCACAAAATTATTTAGTAAAAATAAGTGGCGCACTGTTTCATCTATTTGTTAAAGTATGTGAAACGGGGTTCCAAATACGTAACTGGAACTTTTTTGAAATAATGCTCTAGCTGCTAAGTGGATCTTATGTGGATCCAGATTAAGAGTTTACAATGGTAGGCTGGTGCGGGAGAGAGGGAGTTGGTCTTCAAGGTCATAGAGATAGAGGGCAAAAAGATTTGTCGAGTGAGCCTGCAAAGAAGGGAATGTCAAGGCCTTGCCTAAGTTGCGCGCCTGTAACGGAGATGATTCTCTAAAGAGTCACCTCGAAGAATGTAGCGCTAATGCAACTTACACTTGTTAGAAAACCCGAAATGAGATGTTCTAAGCATGCAATTGAAATATTATGCGAAAGATAGTTCCTAAAGTCAATGCTGCTAAACGTTTTGCAGTAGTAGCTGATGAGACAGACGATATAGCCGGCGTTGAGCAGCTTTAGATTTGTGCATGCTACGTGAACATAAAAGAAATTGAAATTCGGGAAGAGTTTTTGCAGTTGGTTCCTGTGGCTGAACTAACTGGAAGGGGCCTGGCCAATACAATTTTACAAAGCTTAAGGGATATAGGCATTGCAACCGACAACTTCACAGCTCAAGAGTATGATGGTGCAGCCTCAACGAGTGGTGCTTACAATGGCGTTCAAGCACTCGTAAAACAGCAGTGTCCTAACGCCATTGATGTTCACTGTGGCTCTCACAACATTAATTTGAGTCTGTCGAGTGCATGCTTTGTTCATCAGATTAGAAATTCAATGAGAACCATGCCGAAAGTTTGTGAGTTTTTTTCATGCGAGTCCAGAACGCCAGGCTGCTTTAGGTGAGCAAATTGAAAAGTTAATACCAAAAACTCGTGTGACACGCCTGAAGTCACTTTGTTCAACGAGATGGGGGCAGAAACACGATGCTCTGAATGTGTTTGTAAGCATTCTCCACCTAGTTTTGTCAACTGTCCAAGACATTAGCGAAAACTGGAATGATCGCGAATCTCCGTCCAATGCTCAAACCCTTCTGAGTGCTTTGCGCAGAAGCGAATTTCTTGGCTCTCTTTTTGGTGCGGAAAAAATTTTCTTCATAAGCTTGCCCTTAAGCAAATACTTGCAAACCGTCAACTTGGATCTTTCCTCCGCTCTAAGGTTGGCTGATGACGTTTGTTTACTGCGCGTAATCTTAGATCCCGCGCTCAAGAGGTATTTTATGAACTTTTTGGAAATGTTATGTCAATTTTTGAAAAGCTTGGCTCGGTTATTGAAATACCAATGTTCGTTGGTCAACAAAGCATGCGCTGAAATGTCACTTCATCGACTCTGGAGGAGTACTTCTGTCGTTGTGTATTCCTTCCATTTCTCGAAGCTTTCACAGAACAAATTGATGAGATATTTGTGAAGCACAAAAGCATTCTTACTATAGTTGAAATTCTGCTACCTTTTTCATTGGATCTATTACCGAGCAAAGAGGATGAATCTGCGATGCATCTTTTCTGTAAGAGCTAGAGCTCTGATGTCGGGTCGAATACTCATTTTTGTCTGCTGTGGGAGAGCTATATCTTTCGTACATTAAGCTTCAACAGCTTGAAAAACGCCCATTTGGTCCTCTGTAAGCCTTGGAATCCTGTCCAGGTGGTATTGTTCCTGTGATTCGAAAACTGCTTCAAATTATGGCTACTCTGCCAGTAACTACTTGCACAAATGAGGGATACCTCTCAACTCTGAGAAGTCTTAAACCCTATATTTGCAGCACAACTAGGGCGCTAAAGATAAATAGTCTAGCTTTGCTAACTATTTCTCGAGAAGTTCCCTTATCACCTAAGGAGATTTTGAACGAATTGGCAACAAAGCCACGACGGTAAGACTTTAAGCTGTAGAGTGTCTCATCCACAAACACGCCACTGCTACGAAAAAAAAAACTGCTTGAGAGGACGAATTGTGGGTGCTGCCTCCTGAATTATTGGTTTTACATCGTCTTCAAGAAGATGCTCATGCCTGTATTTTAATGTTTTTTGTATGGTTTAGCTATTTCATCTGTGCTTAATCATACTGATTAAATTTTTCAGGCTTAGTGCACTCTATATTGTCTTGCTTTTCGGTCACTTGACCAGTTGATTTTGAACTTATTTATAATGTTAGTATAGGACTGTAGGGGAACCTGTCTTGCTCGCGCATTCTTTTTGTTCTTCTGACTGGCATAACTTGCGCATTCTGTGAGTTTTTAAACTACATCAGCCAATAGTAACCTGAACTACTTACGAAACTCACTGCTTCCACGGCTGTATAACTAAGAGCTTCAGCGGATGACTCCTTTACAACTTGTCTCTGACGTGACCATTGGTGCCGGTATCGTGTCTGTCGCAAGCGGAACTTGCAAGCTTTCTTTGAGTATAAACTTTCTCCAGACTCTGTCCTGTAGGCCTCTTTCTACTATCAGAAGCAAGACATTTTACTTCTGCCCTTGCTGGTGACATGCTCGTGAATAATGTATAAGATTTACTTCTCTTTGGCATCTCTTCCCCTTGTTACCGACAACAACAGGAAGGCAACAAGCACGAGTGAACCAAACTAACACACCTGTGATGACGCAGCTGCTTTGACTGAAACAAATTCTTCCCTCAAAATGTTGAACAAGACGACTTAGGTTCTTACCTGATTCCACTTTATTTTGCTAACAATGCCATAATGATACGTGTGAATGGCCAACTAATAATCCTAGCTTACGAGAACAAATTTTTAGGACTTTTTTCTGACGTCAGATGACCTTTCAGATTTTAACCGTATGAGGCGGCATTGAGGGAATGAATATTCTCGGAAGCATTCTTGAATATATATTTTGTGTACTTCCTTCAATAAATTGAGTTTGGAGTTAGCCCTTGTTTGTCTTCTCGCCTTTCGGTTTTTTTTTGTCTATTGTGTGCGCCCCAAAATGTTTCCAAGAATGTCCTCAAACCAACTCACCTCACTTTTGATACTATAACAGAATTAATATTATATAGCTCTTATAGATCTGAATAGAGAACTTCACAGTGTGCTTGAATTTACGCGGCTTCGTTTCTCTACTTTTCAAACCCGACAAACACAGTTTCTATGCAACAAATTATTTCTTTGATTTTATACCAGTTCTATATGAAGTGCAGTGGTAGAAACAGTGTACATATTCAGGCTACGTGGTTCATACAAATTCAGCTACTTAAAGCCGACAATTCACTTTTAGTACACTTTTATGAGACTCAAACAAAACAGACATCATGTTCCGTTCTCATAATTTGGAACATCCTGACCTGCAGAGTTTTAACAACACCACGTGACCGCCAACAGGCCAGCATATCATCGACACCCATATCTGTGTACGCAGTGGCAAAAATAACCATGTGCCGACAACATTGTGGATAACTATGTTATGCATTGCTGTATTAATCTGCGGTTTATTTTTCACGTATACTGCTTTGATGAATTAATGGATGCACCAGTCAAGCTTTTGCGAGGTGTCCCTGGAAAACACCGAATTTGTCATCGTAATCATGATTGGCATTATTTTGCATTCTATTTGCTCCAAGATTTTTTCAGCTGAAGTTGGGAACGTCTTATTATGCAATGTGCCGCCCTCCCTCCACACACACACACACACACACACACACACACACACACACACACACACACACACACACACACACACACACACACACACACACACACACACACACACACACACACACACACACACACACACACACACACTCCAGCTGTACACTGTCATGACTTTTGTCAGAATTTCACACCCACCCCCTTTCAGACAGAAATCCTGGTTGCGCTACTGGGGGAACTTATTTGTGAACACTGCAGATGGTCTAACCTCCCAACACCCTACGCATTGTGGAGCTCCGCAAGGTGGCGTCTTGAGTTCAATCTTCTTCAACTTCGTTCTCATTCATCTTGTGGAACGACTACCGAGTGTAGTCAAGCTATCTATGTACGCTGACAACGTCTACGTCTGGGCATCTGGCAGGACAGTACCTCAGGTACGCGCAAGGCTTCAGAAAGCTGCTACTTTGGTATCAGTGTACCTCAATGAAGAGGGCCTGAAAACCTGGCCAGCGAAATGTGCATTGATTGCTTATAGTTGAAAGCCAATAAGACCATACGCTATATCTATCGACGGCCAAGTCATACGTAATGTCCGGACGCACATATTTCTATGCGTATTGATAGAAGGAGACCTCCACTGGGAGCCTCATGCGGCCTACTTGAAGAAAAGGCTGACGGACATTGCTACCTTATTCAAGTATCTCGGAGGAAAAACTTGGGGGACCTCAGTATAAGCAATGATGCAATTATACAAGACGCTTTTTTCGGCTGTTTGCTGTACAGGTTGCCAATGCTGACCAATACCAGCAGAACCAGCATTCACATTTTGGAAAGCATCCAGGCTATGGCTCTGCGAGTTTCTCTGGGGCTACCGTGATGTTCGTCAACAGATGAGACCATTCCGATTGCAAATGACTACCCGTTCAAGACGCATATTTTAATGGAAGGACTCAGAACACATGTGAAGGAATTTCACTTGCGCCCCTGCCCATAACCTAGCCTCACTGCTCGAAGACCGACC